CTCCTGAACACAGATGCAAAAATTCTCAACAAAATCCTAGCCAACAGAATCCAGCAGCACATCAAAAAGATAATACATAATGACCAAGTGGAATTCATATCAGGGATGCAAGGATGGTTCAACAATAGAAAATCAATTAACATTATCCACCATACCAAGGAGAAAAAAGAAAAGAACCACATAATCATATTGATTAATGTAGAAAAGGCATTTGACAAAATCGAACATTCATTCCTAATAAAAACACTCAACAAAACAGGAATTGAAGGGAAATTCCTCAACATAATTAAGAGCATATATAACAAACCAAGAGCCTACATTACCCTCAATGGAGAGAAACTGAAAGCTTTCCCTCTGCAAGCAGGAACCAGACAAGGACACCTTTAGTCACTGCTCTTATTTAGTACTGTGCTGGAAGTCTTAGCAAGAGTTATAAGGCAAGACAGGGAAATTAAAGGCATCCAAATTCGCAAAGAGGAAGTAAAAGTCTCTCTATTGGCAGACAATATGATCCTATACGTAGAAAATCCCAAATACTCAGTAAAAAAGCTACTAGACCTCATTGGAAGATTCAGACCGGATAGAAGATCAACATATAAAAATCAGATTCCTCTATACCAGAAATGACAGCGCTGAAAAGGACATTAGGAAAGCAATACAGTTTACAATAGCCACCCAAAGAATAAACTATCTAGGAATAAATACATGCAGAGAAACAAAAGACTTATACAAAGAAAACTTCAAAACACTACTACAAGAAACTAAAAGATACCTACAAAAACGGAAGAATGTACCATGCTCCTGGATAGGAAGATTTAACATTGTAAAAATGTCAATACTGCCCAAAGCAATTTACACATATATTGCAATCCCAATCCAGATTCCAATGACATTCTTTAAAGAGATAGAAAAACAATTACAAACTTTTTATGAAAAGGAAAGAAAACCAGGATAAGCAAAGCATTGCTTAAGAAGAAGAGTAACGTTGGAAATCTCTCACTTCTCGACTTCAAAATTTACTACATGCTACAGTAGTCAAAACAGTTTGGTCCTGGTACAATGAAAGATACATAGATCAATGGAATAGAATCTAGAATCTAGAAATTAACCCATCTACATACAGCCAATTGATTTTTGACAAAACACCTAAATATATCACATGGGGAGGTGATAGTACTTTCAACAGATGGTGGTGGCAAAACTGGAAAGCGACAGTCAAATGACTGAAACAAGACCTTCACCTCACACCTTATACAAAAACCAACTCAGCATGGATTAAAAGACTTAAATGTGAATCCCAGAATTATGAAGGCCACCAATGAAAAAAAATAAGGACAAATGTGAGGGCACTAATTCAGGTAATACAAAGACTACCAAACATTTTGAAAACTACACACAAAAAAGTAGACAAAATAGATGAGTGGGACATACTAAAAATTAAAAACTTTGGCACATCAAAAGACTTCACCAGAAGAGTAAAAAGGGAACCCACAGAAGGGGAAAAAAAATCTTTTGGAATGACA